TTGTTATTTCATGTCATAGATACAAAATATGTGGCGCTCACTCTTTTAAAAAAGTAAAATTAAATAAATATTAGCACAACTTTTGATATATGAGTAGGAATAATATGTTATCTCATGTAACATAAGAAAAATATACTAATTTTCAAAAAAAGAAAAAAGAAAAATATATCCATATATTTATATAGAAATATTTTTCTCATGTTACATAAAAAAAATTATCTCATATTATATACCCATTAAAGTCCGAGCCAACATTTCTTTTTTCTCTTTTTTTCTTAGTCGTGAGACCCACCTAATTATGTCTCCACATAAGATAATATTATCTTATATATGTAACATGAATGAGAAAAATATATCCCATATATATAAGGGGAAAACATTTCTGCAGCCACTTTAGATAAGGTTGTCTACAACTACTCCATTTTAAATAAGTATGATCGGTCATACATTAAAATTACATTTTCTCTCTCCGCCACGTCAGCCGACAGTATCTGAGGAAAGAGAAAAAAAAAACAGCTTTATTGTTATAATTAAGTATGACCGATCATACTTAATTAAAAAGAGATAACTGTAAATAACCTTATATAAAGTGGCTGTAAAAATATTTTTCTGTTATTCTATAAAACAAAGCCTAATTCATTTGTTTGACAGTAAGGTTATTAAAAAACTAGCTGATAAAACGATCGTTTACTTTTGTTTATTGGTTAGTGTACTCTTCTTACAAAATCAATTTTGTAAGATTTGGAATTATCCATATGGGAATGTTATTACATTACTTTCGTCGCGTGAATCTAACTATAAATTATGTGACAAAAAAAAAACTCTTTAACATTTTCACACAAACACACATCAAAAAATTATCTTTAAAAGGTTTATTTATATTTATTTTAAACACAAAATAAACTAATTCAATCACATAATTAGTTTGCTGATTTTAACTAATTCACAGGCATGAATCACAGAATGAGGTCCTGTGTATACTTTATGATCACCGTTCGAATAATTGGGCCTTCTCGCATGCCCACGGATGACACATTTTAAGTTTCACTTTGACCCAATGAAGTTTGACGCCAACACGTATGTTGAAGGAACCGCAATTAAGTAAAATGAAAAGAGTAAAGTTACATTTACCCAAAAAAGTTACACATCTTACTTACACTGCTGGCTAAAAAGAAAAAGGGAAAATATTATAATATTGGTTATATTTACGAAGTCAACAATTTAAATGTTTTTATACTAAAGAAAATTAAATATTTCGGAAATCATTATTATATAATTTGGCTGTTGGATCCAACAGATAGCTGAGCAACAAGCCAGCAACAAGCACTTCAGAATCTTCAATTCCTTCTCGAAAATTTAATTATATTTGACAAATTACAACTAACTAATCCTGATGTTAATGCCCTCCAAATTATTCATAATTCAATTGTAAATTCCTATAATCCTTTTGAATGCCATTTTTGGGCTTTATTTATCCTGATTGACCATTTTTTAATCCTTATTTTTTTTTCTATACAGAGAAAATCGATGTATCTCAAAACTTTTTCATATGTTTGGGGCCTTTGGGGAGACGTGGGCCGAGCCCGTCGGGCCGGCCCGTCAAACGGGACAGAGCGGGCTGAGTTTTTCAAATTCGTTGCCTGTCAAGCTCGTCTGGGCTGATTTTTTTTTTTTTAATTTTTAGTGTAAAATGTCACGAGCTTGACGGGCAGCCTGCCCCGCCCGCCCAAATGGGACGGGGCGGGCTGAGATATCTAGCCTACCTTCAAAAGTGGGGCAGGTCAACCCGCTTTTTGGCGGGCTTTTAGTGGGCTGGGGCGAGGCGGGCAGCCCGTTTTGCCATCTCTACGTGTAATACGCATAAAATCTTTTAGGGGTTTTGCATTTATCATTTTACATAATACAAAAAAGTTTTCTACACACATAACATTTTGTGGGGTCCACACTTTTTGAAACAAAAAAAAAAAAAACTACGGCACGCAAAACGAGTTTCTATAGCATTACACAATCACTTTTCTTACAACATAACTCTTATAAAATCCATTTTTATAGTATCACTCATTTGAATATATATTATTAGACCTTACTATGTGACGTAGATGTTTGGGCGAATATGTAGAAAGATCGAGACACAATTGTAATGATGACTATTAAACCTAATTCCGTAAAAGGTCTTAGCTACAATGATCATAACTTCAATAAGAGAGCTTTAATTGAGACTTTCACCCTTTTCTACCAACCACAGGGCAGGTTTGCCTACAAGATTATATAAAGATACTTAATTATGCTTGAAATTTGCCTTTAAATTAATTCATTACCGTTTTATCTGCTCTGATACTAATTAACCTAACATAATCAATTAAACTGAATTAAAGGATAATTAAAGCAGTGATTATAATGTAACAAGTAATGGAGCTCTCGTAACAAATCCATATATAATAAGAAATTAAGTACAAAAGAGTAAATGAGTACTGTGACTAAGACCTCCTGCAATGCATTGAATACGGCATTGATAGCGTTTTCCTTTGAAACAATTTGGGTGAATTATGAGAATAAACTTTTTTTTGTTTCTGGTTGATATGTGATCTGACGAACCAAAAGGAGCCACCACTCACATTTGCCTTCAAAGTAGTTTTAACCATAACGTGGGTCGGTCACATCATGCGGAATTTTAAGGGAAGACAACATTCATAGTCATACTCGTACAGTACAAGAAAGAAGACTCATTGTCAAGCTTTGCTTGCAAGTTAGGTCAAGGGTTTAAATGCAACTTTTATGGCACCATTTACCAACATTCAACGTACATCAGGATCTGTATTAAAGCAGTTAACAACAAAATTAAGTATAAAATTGCTTAAAATTATACTGACAAAAAAATTAAAATATTACACTTTTAATAATTAATTACGAATAGGTTATAGTTTCAAAATCATTTTTGGATTTATTACAGTATATGTCTAAAATGGGCGGGACAATTCACGCTCATGTTAGACGTGAATTCCACGTTATTCACGCCCAAAATAGGCGTGATTAGTCACGTCCTATGCAGGCGTGAATCAAAGGATATTCCAGCCCCATCTAGACGTGACTCAGCCCCCTTTCCGGTCCACTTTGGGAGTGAATACCACCTATTTTTCTTATATAAACACCTCTCATCTCCACATTCATCAGAACTCTTCATCTAAACTTCTTAGTCTTTGATACAGTCTCACTTGCTTATGCGTACTCTGTTTTGTGTTTTTCTTTATTAATATAGTTAAGAATGAGTTCACATTCTGATTTTGTTCGTGTTGTTTTATATTATAATAGTAGGAAAATGGAAGGTCGATGTGGTGTTATTTTTGAAGGCGAGAAAAGGCCAACACGTATCATGCGAAACTCAACAATTAGCGAACTACATCAAAAAATTCGTCAAAAGTTAGCGCTTGAAGGTAAACAATCAATCAATATGGTCACTGCAAGAATATGGTGTGAATCACAATACATTAGTATGCAAGTTGTTGACGATGAAGACGTACAAATGGTAATCGGAGAGTTTTTCAACCAGTCAAGGAAAGATTTTTTAGAGTTATATGTGGATATTGCTGAAACAGAGGATGTTGCTACACCCGTGAGGTCAGTTGATTTAAATTTTGCACATAAGGCATCATCATCTGTTGCTCTGATGGGTAATCTGTCTGAGGAAGGAGAAAATGACCCTACTTGGGTTATTGAAGATGATGGTGAGGATGACGATGATGAAATGCAATGGAAGATCAACTTCTTGCTGAGGATGCTAGCGCTTCAGACAACGATGATGAATGTGGTATTCTTGAAACTCAAATCCTAGAATATAATGTTGTGGGGGGTCTCATGTCCAGGAACATCATAACGTCGCGTCCACTCAGTTACCGCCAATTTCGGAAGGTAAGTAAGTTAATGAACTGAAAAATACATTTATATTTGCATCTTTTTGGGTTTTAATGTTTAATTTCGTACTTGCAGGGGACGACGTTGTTCCATTTTGGAAAAAAATTTCACATTACACATACATTAATTGGGATCATCTGAGGGAACAAGATTCTTTCCACGACGGTTCAAGTTCTGGCTCAGGCTCAGGTTCAATTAATGGTCCATGGATAATAGGTAACAAGTTGTATGTTAAGCAAGAATTTGAATAAAAAAGAGAGGCGCAAATGGCAATCAAGAGAAACCTAATGAAAGAGCATCAAGAAGCGATCGTCCTTGAGAGCACGCCTACCAAATTAAGTATGAAATGTTTTAAGTATGAACAGGATTGCCCGTGGAGGGTTAGGGTAATAAAACCAACGTACGGTGAAGAATGGAAGGTTACTAAATGGGGTGGAGACCACAATTGCTTGAATGATCATATTTCTCAGGGTCATAGACAACTTGATGCTGATGTGATTGCTTCACTCGGCTGGTCCAAACCAAACTGTCTCAAGCATCTATCTGGTTTGCACTGCTCAACCGTATGAAAACATATGATCGGTGTCCTAGCCAACCAAAGATATCGCTCATCTACAGGTATGTCCAAGAAATGATAGTCCTCGTACGGCTGCCAAACAACCTACAAAAAATATGATGAATTTCCATAACGTATGATTTTGGCAACAAGAGAAAATAATAATCATAATTTCTCCAAAAAAATATAACATACCTCGTCCCTAGTCAATGTGTCTAGAGTCCCCCCGATATAGAAGCTGATGTTGTGGTTTAAAGCGGGCTAAACCATTAAACCTGTTAGGCAAAATGAAACATATGCAAGATTATTAATAATTTGTTACAGATAAATTAAAGTATAATTCTTATACAAATGACACATACCGGTGCCCGAAGTGCCACTCTGGGTGAGTAGGCTGAGGAAGAGGAGGAGCAATAGGTGGAAACCTGGTCCACGCCCATATTTGCAGCAGTATATGACACCCACCCATGTCTGATTTGCGCGGGTCAGTAATCTCGCACAATTGTCTAAACAAATGTGCGAGAACAGCAGATCCTCAACTGTATTGACCAATGTCATCAAAATCTCCTGCAAGCAACGCAATGTAGCGACATCCGATAACGCTACCTCCAGATTTGTCGCAGAGAAGCCATGATCCTAACATACGCGCAATGTGTGCCTTAGTAAAAAATATAACCTGTTGTGAATCCGCAGCACCTGTACCCAAATGCGCATAATGTCTGTCTAAATATGAGAGCTTGACATCCCCGTACGGCTGCTCTTAAACGAGCGGGGCGTGGCCAAGCACCTCCGCGCACAGGACTCGCCAGTTTGTGGATGTAGCACCCGTAACCACTTTCCCATTAGTCGGCAATCCCAATATAGCCGCAACATCCTGCAACGTAATGGTCATCTCGCCTTGTGTCATGTGGAACGTGTGTGTCTCTGGTCTCCACCTCTCCACCAGAGCACTGATCAGCATGGGATCAATCTGAAATAAATAAGACATGTATTATCAAAATAAACTTGCTTAAGCATACACTAAGTTTTTCACATTTTTTATTAAATTAAAAGTCATATGACCGGTACTTTCATATATGCGTACCTGAACATGCTGCATGCGGGAGACATGTAGGAAGCCAGCCTGCTGCAGGTAGTTTGCCACGACATCGGGAATATCATCAGGAGATGCCCCCCTGCATCTGTCCACGTCTAGTCTTGCACTAGCGACACTTCTCCTCGTTCCACACAACCTGTGAAACATGTGTGCACTGCGTGCGCCTCCTAAGTACGTCTCACCTGTATGGTCCTGGAAGCACGTGGGTCTTGGGATCCGAAGGCTCGCCCTGAGCCTCAATATCGGATGTAGACCGAGGTGACTCTGACGATGACGAGTCAGCCATAATAGTGTACTATACACAATAATAAATTAATTGGTTTCATTAATATATTCAAAAGTCATTACATTAATTACATGTGTTACAAAAATTAATTAATTACATGTGTTACAAAAATTATTAATTTACATGTGTTAAAAAAAATTCAATTACTTGTGTTACAAAAAATATTTAATTACATGTGTTACAAAAAAATATTCATTTACATGTGTTAGCAAAAAGATTAAATTACATTACCTACAAAAAAATATTTAATTAAATCTGTACAATATTCCTACTTCACTAATATATTCCACAGTCACTATTGTATTCCACAGTCATTATTATATTCCTAAGTCACTATTATATTCCTAGGGTTTAAGACACTACTTTAACATATTTCTAGATCACTATAATAACATATTTCTATATTACTATAATATTATATTTAAAAAATTAATAAAACAGATATGAAGACTAACTTGTTCGACAGGGCTTCGCCGCGCAAAATGCTCCACAAATAATCTAGAGAGAAGGCAGACCAACTTTAGAGAGAATTTATAGAGAAGGTGTGAGATGAAAAAGTGAAATTTTTGGGATTTTTATAGGCCAAGCAATTCACGCCTGGATTGAGCGTGAATTGTCACGCCTACTTTGAGCGTGAATTTCCTTTAATTCACGCCTAACTTGGGCGTGAATTGTCCCGCCTATTTTAGACGTGAATGACTGCAATAAATTCTCACATAGTTTCCAAATTACAACCTATTCGTAATTAATTATTAAAAGTGTAATATTTTTAATTTTTTTGCCAAATTATAGTACTGTAATTATTTATATATAGTAAATTATAAATATTTAAAATAAATTTTTATTGCATACATAAATATAATCCACTTGCAGAAAATTTCTTCAATATTAATGTAATTGACTTTTACCATGGAGTATGCTGCATATTTGAAAATAAGTAGATAAGGGCACTTGAATGTATATTTCCTATTTTGGGTATAAGTATATAATATGATCATTTTATACCACTCTGTTGTTATATAAGACATGATCATCTTAATAGTTGTAAAAGGTGCTAAGGGCACTTGAATGTATATTTCCTATTTTGGGTAAAATAACGCTCAAACCGTTCATTAATTAAATTGTGACCGACAAGTAATTTGTGCTCGATGCGGTGGTTCAAAGTTCAGGTTTTTTTTTTTGTTGGAAAAATCAAAGTTCAGTTTTTAAACAACTGATTTGAGGAGTTCAACCGAATTTTGAGGTAGCAGTAGGAGAGAAATTTTTTTTATCTGACAATCTTAATTTTTAGAAATATAATTTTTATTTACGAAAATATTTGAAATTTTAAAATTTAAAAAAATTCAGTTTTCGAAGAATCTCCAAGAATCCCGCTTACCAAATGGACCCTATTAAAGGAAAAATATTACTCTTTCTCTTGTTGGTCTCAACTAAGTATGGAAAATTATTATTATTTTAATTATAGTTAGGAGAGCGCACATTAGCTTTCCCAAATATCTGTATCGATCGTATGTGCTGCAAACTCATTAGTATTTTATTTGTAAGTTAAAAATTTCCCTTAAAATTTTAAAAACATATATATGTTATAATTTTGAATTAAAAAATTAAAAAATTTATGGGCATAAATTATGAAGATTTTCTTGAGATTTTTTATATACATGGTATCTTATTCAAAATCTATTTTACATTTGATGGGTTAATGTCGAAAAATTTATGTGTGTGATCTATTCAGTAAAATAAAATGGTGGAATCCGATTTTGAATTTAAGTTTCTTCGCTTTTTTTAAGAATTGTTGTTCTTAAGAATCAAACCTCTTGTCCAAATGTTTTGGTTGATATCAATTTTGTGTTTGAAGTTCCAACAGACTCGATTAATTTGGTTTTAGATTTAAATCTATTTACTATCTGATTCCAAAAATTACAAGTTTTAAGAATCAAACTCATTACTTTTTGGGTAGATCAAATTTTGAGGTCTAATTGAGTCGTCACTAGACCAATAACTCTTCAATAAAGAATAATTTTTTAAAAATTATTAAGTCCCATGTGTTAAAATTAATTTTATAATATCAATTGTAAATGTTTTAAAAATTACTAGGATACACATCTTACAAAATGATTTTCTAAATTTTTTTAAAGAAAAAAAAGTGAACTTCTTAAGGTGATAAAAATACATGGGATGCCGTCCACCATGATTTTTGTCTCGAGGGAACCAAACAATTCAACAGGGAAATCAAAACACATTACCAAACTAAACAAATTCGCTCAGTGTGAGTCGACCAAATCTCAATGATAGTCTCATCCACATTAGTCCCGTGTCAAGAAGAAAAAGGAGGAATGGGTGGACTAGAAGCCTAAAGTGTGGAACCCAAGTCAGAAAAACTGCTGGTTACTCAAATGGAATAATGTTGCTGCACGTGCAAAATGGGGTTTGATTTTTCTCTGATGTTCAATTTTCCCACCAAGTTATCTTTTCTCTTTTCCCCCATTTAAATATGGGTTTTATGTTTATCATTTAACATAATATAACTTTACTTTCCTACACACACATTAAAGAGGTGGGGTCCACATATTTTTCCTTCTCTTTCATCATTCCACTTTCTCTCTCCCTTTTGATATGAAAGTTGGAAACAACACTTACATCATGTTACATAACACTAATAAAACCCTTTAAATATAAACACTTACTTATGTAAAACCGTAGTGGTGTGTTTAAACTTGCCTCATTTGAAACCCACAACACCACTCACTCCATGCTTCAATTGCAAGTAATTGAAACTTCAAACATGGCGATGGTGAGGTGCATCATGGACGTCAACATCAACTTCACCAGTTACAAGGGTAATTTAACTGTGGTGATTAATTAAGCTCTACACTGCTCCATTATAGACAAGTACTAATAATCCTCCGATTCATTTCTATCCACGAATTGAAATCATATCAACATTAATTAATGACCATGCAAAAAAAAAAAAAAAAAACAATAACTGACGGATTCAGATGGGAAAGAGACAGGTCCATCCATTCGGGAGGCTGAAAGTCAAACTTAAACCGATCGACTTGCCTGAAATTTAAGACAGAAACAGTGCCATGGGGTTTGTTGTTTTCCAAACCACAAATCCTTGACAACACTCATAGCATGCAACTTGTGACATGTCACAGGATTAATTAAAACTCACTTAAAAAAATTGTAACATATATAATACGTTAACCCAATATAATTAAATCACACTATATAATTTCTTACACTTGAGGGGATTGGTCCTCACCCAAAATTTGTTACACTTGATTTTATACGTAATTATTTTTAGAAACATATAACACTCTAGATCAATGGGATTTTTTTCATTGGTCCCCTTAAGAAAATCGTCTTCCGCCTCTCCATCCATATAAGGTACCAAAATATCAAGTTAGCAACCCCTTGATCTTAAAAATCATATAAGGTACCATATAAGCCAAGGTTCACCGGTCACATGCTAGATCCTGGCTTGTGGCTACCTTAACTATTCAAACACATATACTGTAGTGTAACAATATATTCGGAATAAAACGACAGCATATATAATTAAAATTCAGATCAGGGTGACTCATGGCAATCATCATGCGTGCGTCATTGACTCATTAGTGAGTTTGATGTGAGGGCATATGCTTGAGCGATGAATGATGGTTTCTTCTGCAACATATAGGTGATATTCTTGTTGGAAAAACCATTTGTTGATAAATTTCTATAGGTCCCATCTGATGAACCTATTATTTTCACTCTCATAATGAGGGCAAATAATACAAAATGTCACAAAATAGGATACGTTTCAATTTAAGGAATAAATCTTTGGTATTACTATTGTACCAAAGATTCAGTGCATCTCACCAATAAAAATATGACATATAGTAAAAATTTACTTTTTTTTTGCCAAATTTTTTTTTTCTTCTGATGTGTAATGCTCTTATTGATAGGATGTATTGAATCTAGGTGCAACAATAACACTAAAGATTTATTCCAATATAACATGACACCTGTCTGAATTTCCCTAAAAATTGATGTATATTATTTTAGTTTGAAACTCCATCCCTTGAGGGGAGCCTTGGATCCCATCTACGGATCCAAAGAGAGAGACCAGGAGGGAAAAGGACAAGGGAATATTCTATCAATTAGGATGAGTATTAACTCCCATAAGAGTGGAAATGTAGTGCTCCCGGAGCACTTTGAATTTAGTGGAGGCAGAGGAAAGAGAAAGAAAGGAAAAATAGAGGAGAGAGAAAAAAAATAAAAAAATAAAAAATTAATACAAGTGTTCTATTTTGATTAGAAGGACTACAAAGTCCTGGACCATCTTAAATTTTTTTCCCATTGAAAAACTTACATGCAAAATTTCAGCTAGATAAATTATGTTCATGGTCATGGGGGCAATGGTATTATTTTATAAGTAGGATGAAATCATATTTTTCATATTATATTTTTTTGAAGAGTTTAGAAAAATAATTATATATTATTCTACATATATGACTAGATTTTATTTTGATACACTTTCAATTTAGAATTTTTTACATTAATATTTGATGATATGTTATCACGTCATACTTAACGAGTTTAACATTTTATGTGCTTCTTAACATAATTAAATTTATTAAGTAATAAAAATTTCACCACTTAATGTTATAGTCCTATTTAAATAAATGCAAGATGAAATGACAATCAAACACACAGACACATTTCAAATAAAATTATTGAAAACTCACTAATTATCACGTAAAACAAAATCTAAAAGAAAACTTGTTAAAATCATGGACCGTAAATAAAGGGAACATTAGGAGAAAAGTTTGGTATTTACAGGAAAATATCGTGCAAATAGAGAATTTTTAATTATTTGAGATAATAAATATCTCAATCAATTTAATTTGCAAATTTTATGGTTGAAACTTGACCGGATGAATGTAATACAGGACGCTCCTTTTGAGAATCTCGACCACGGTCATGGATAGAATTGACCATAAAGTAAAAAAAGCAGACATATTCAATTCAGTCGGTCCTAGAAAGATATAATTGTTAGGTGGGATAGTTATTCCGTTGAACACCTATACTCTAAAAATAGTGAAATTGAAAAAACATCTTTTCAGGCAACAGCGCTAGAAAGAATTTTCACTTCACAAGAGCATAAATACTCGCCCAGTTAAAATATAGTAAATTAAAAAAAAAAAAAAAAAAAACAAAATACTTCACAAAACATATCACATTTATTCAAAATTTCTTAATTTCATGTGTGCCATTTTACAAAAACGGTTGCGTGGCTTCAAGCATCTCCCTTTTCAGGTGGTTAGGAGTTAGTTTCATATTTACTTCCGACTAATCATGTAAAAATTCATTTATTAGTGAGAAAATCTTTACGGAAAAATTTGTTCTCAAATATTTTGATTATGCAAATATTTGGGAAAACAAAATGACGGAGATTATACTTCTAAATGTTTTTCCTTATAAGCTCTTACAAATATTTATTATTGCTAGATTAAAATTAAATAATTGGTAATAAAATATCAAATGAGAACGATTAGGAAAATATTACAAATCTAACTTATCTCAAACAAAACAAAAAAAGGCAATATTCAACATACGTAACAAAAACTTCCTGCTGAAAAAAACCTTTTGATGTCTCATGTACTAATTAACTACATGTCTACATGCAAGAAACTCTCCACATCCCTCGTTAATTATCCTTGTTTCACGTTTGTTTGTTTCACTTGGGTCTCTTCTTTTCTGGAATCCGCTACATTCATCCCTTTTGTGCTATGGTATGTGATTCAAACTCAATCCATGAATATGGCGTGGAAGTTGGAAGTTGCAACCCAAACTCTTCCTTGGATGGTGCTAAATCTTTGAAACCCACCACAAAGGGTGGTGCGTGGATGTCAACATCTCTTCGTTTTCTTCCATTAATTCTTACCTAGCTATATATATATATATATATATATATATATATCTCAGCATAACTTGGTCCTCTATGCTTACATATGGAGGCTTTGTTATTAGACTGATTAAGAACGACAGCTGATTATAATTAATTAATGGAGACGTATATATCTAAGCATAACTTGGTCATCTATGCCTACATATGGAGGCTTTGTTATTAGACTGATTAAGAACGACAGCTGATTATAATTAATGAAGACGATGTAGACCCATTTATATATATAATGCATTTCAGATGAGGTGTCAAAAAAAGAACGACGACTCTGATTTGTAATCATATGACAACATTGATCTTTTTTATCTAACGGCTAGATGAGGTGTCAAATTTTAAATTTGACATTGATGACAAAGGATCCTATCTTATTTATATATATATATATATATATATATATATATATATATATATATATAAGCTGAAAAGAATTCTTTAAACGAATTTGCAATTTAAGGCATAGAACCACAAATCCATGACAACACTTCATAACTAAGAATTTATACAATTATTTAATTACCGAGAGGCGAGACTCGAGAGCCACTTGTACACTTGTGACATATATGCTTCTCTTTTTGCCTATAGTTTCATTATATAACCAGTGAAATGCTCTACCTACTTTTCTAATACACTTATAGGCCTTCATTTGAACATAGCTCAAAGTAATAAAGATACATCATGAGATTAGTATAGAAGTTAATTATAGGTTCGATTCTATCAAAAACATATACATTCATGAAATGGTAAAATAAAATGTTACTCTACTGTTTTTGTGAGTAAAACTTGCGAGTCCTAGCATGTAGAATCAAAGCCAAGAAAGTGCCAAAGAAACAAAGGGAACCCCAGATGATGAAAGTGTTTTTGTAGCATTCCATGCCCATGCATTTCCCATGTCCATGACCTTCCTTACGGTAAATAAGGGCAGCCAAGTAGCCAAACAGAAAGGAGCCTATTGGAATGTTGGCCACCACCACATTATGGTTCACGGAGAAATTCTTGGGTCCAAATAGTTCGGTGGTGGTGGAAACAGAAATTGAAGTGATTGCTCCAGTACAAACTCCAATTATTGCAGTGCTAATATAGAGTGCAACGTGAGTTTTATTGAGAAGTAAGAAGAATGCGCCTGCTGTTGGAGCCATCAATGCCACCATAGAAGCTGGTCTTGATATTTTACACTTTCCCCTGCATACATACCAAGTAGTTAGTTGGAGCCATGTCAAATTCTCAATAAAAGAGAGGAGACACATAATTTAATATTCTCTGTCTGTCAACTAACACATTTATAGTAATTATTGGAATTATATGACAATATAAATGCACCGATATTGGTTGGTGTTAGATAGATAGGAAGAGGAAGGTAGAGAATGTGTAAGTTACCGGTAAAAGTAGTCCATAATAGATGGCATGAGACGTCCAAAGAACCCAAAAGAGGAAGACAAAGACACCAACGATGAAGTATCGGAGTAACCCCTGGATTCAGCTATTTGTCCCAAGTTATTAAGAAATACTAAACCCAGTGTGGCACCAAATAAATACACAAAGAAATATAACCAGAAATCTATTCTTTGCAGCATCAACATCACTCCTATTTCTTCTCTAATGCCAACCTCTTGAACTTCTCTGCTATCTTCACCCTCTTTCATCTCATTCTCTGTTCTCTCTTTATCAGTGCTCTCCTCTACTGTAAAATGGTAGACTCTCAGTCTTTCTCTATTTGTCTGCCACGACCCCACTAGTTCACTGATCTTCACAGAAACTGAAACTAGCAGAGGGAGGAAAAGGGACACTATAATACCAACAAGGTTACCCAGTGGAGATATTTTGTTAGATACAAATTGCAAGCTGGTCATCACAGCATATATTCCAGTGGCAATTGTAATAACAAACATAACAACAAATCCTACACCCATATGTTTAGGCCTTGAGACTTCTATTTCTCTGACTAAAGGAGCTGCTATTAGGCCAACTATCACAGGTAAGATTGAGTTTAAAAAGAGAAAGGTTCTAGCTTTTTTGTGTTCAGAAACAGCATCAACAATGCTGGTGTAAATCTTTGCACTTAATCCTTGGTAACTAGTTGTTAATCCCACAGCAACTTGGCGATCAGATGAGAAGTTCCTTATTGTGACAACATAGCAGACAGTGTTAATCCAACAAATACTATTCCCTGCTAGAACAGTTAGAAAGAAAACATGCCAATAGGACAAAGAGGAAATTTGGTTTGTTATGAAGAGATATTGCACTCCATAACCAATTAACCCCAGAGTTGAACCTATCATGAGGACAAGCCAAAGGGGGAGGTAAACAGCTGCCATGCCTGAAAAACAGCCAAAAAGTTTGCCTGCATCAGAAGCAAAAGCAAGGTTATTGAGCTGCACTTGGGACATGGAAAGGAGTTGCTTCAGCTGAGAGGAGTAAGCAGGGAAATTGGTGTTTGTTCCATTTATGGCTTGTAGCCAAATGCTACCTATAAGGCTTAGCCATTGAAAAGCAGTTGAAGGCATGATGAAAGAAGCTAGTGAGAAAATTTGAATTGCACTTCTTAACTCACAAGAGGAGATGGGGTGTGAGGGCTTATATGGAGAAAAAAAAGGAGGAAGGGCTTGAAGCTTAAGGTGTGAAATGCCTCCGGGTTAAATGGAATGATGTGGCTGTACATGTAAAATGTGGTTTTCTAGCCACCACCACCTTTGCTTGAAAAGATTGTGTGTGAGAGGAAAAGACATCTGTGCTATATATGAATTCAGGTGCATTTATTGATAGTTAAGATTTTGTGAGGAAATCACATAACTAGGCAACTTAATTTGGCCTCAAGCGTGAGATGGTGAAATTTTATTAAGTGGGAACTGGTTCTGAGCACTTGCGGCGGCTAGGTGACAAAGTGCATGTGCGCATAGATCAATTCATTAATCTCTCCTCTTACGTTAGTCTTGCTCTACAATCCTCTTAGTTGCCCTGAAGGTGTCAATTCTAGTTGAGACGACTCGATACAAATACGAATATATTCAATATACAAATTTGAAAAAAAAAAAACCAAAAAAATCACTCTCCATTAAATCGATTAGCGAGTGTGGGGTGGAGGAAATTTTTGTACGCAGTCTTACCCTTACATAATTGCAAAGAGGCGGTTTATTGTATTCAAATTTTTTTTTTCAATATCTAAGAATATTTGAATTTGACTTTTTTATTCACTCTCCCTCTTTCTTAAATATTCTTAAGTCCCGATTACTCACTCTCCCTCTTTCTTCCTTTCATTATATCTGCAATATGCCGCCGCCGCCCCCTCCCCTTTTTTTAATTAAAACTATCGCTTTGGCTGCCAAAAAATCTCAATCTTGTTACATTGCTTAATACCCTTTTTCTTTTCTGTGCTTCTCTTCTATTGGTAGTGAGAAAGTTCTTGCCTTGACAATTTTTTGGTTTTTAGTTAAGTAGTGTATAATCTATTGTATGTTTTTCTCTCCCTTTTCATATATGATTTCGTTGCAGATGGTATAAAGATTTGAGTAAATACCCTTTTTCGTCCTTGGCAATTTTTACGAGTCACATTTTAGTACCCGACAATAAAAAAGGCTCATTTTAGTTCCTAATTTTTGAAAAAAAGAGTCACGCTTGTCCTTCTGTTAGTTGACATGTGACGACCCACTTGACGGAGCACAGCTGGACCATTAGTTAGCTGAGTCACTAACGTCACGGCCACGTGGAGGACAAAGGAACGACGTCGTTGTATTATATGCTAAGGCCCTCATATGTAACTACAAGCGGACGACATCATTTGGTTAAAGGAGACTTCTTCAACCTTGGTGTTGACTCACTTCACACACTCAGACAACAAGTTACCTGTCCATACCCACCATTTCCTCTGCTCGTGAGCTTCGTTTTCGGTCAAGGTTGGTGTGGAACGGTGGTTTGTTGGTGCACGTCTCGTCCGCAGTTGCAACCATCTGGTGGTTTTTGTTGAAGATCGTTAAAACGGTTGTGAGTGTGGTGACATTCCTTCAAGGTACGTGGGAGAAATCATTTCTTTATTATCTGTGGTTCCTCTACCCTTTTTGGTCATTGTCTTTTTGTTTAATGTGGTCCCCCATGTGCGGTTTAGGGAAAGAGATTGTTAGGGTTTTATATTATGGTCCCCTTTGGTATTTTATTTTTGGTACTTGTTGCATGTGGTCCCCTTGTCGATTTTTAAATTACTATGTGTAGTGATTAGTGGACCCAAGTTTTTACCAATGGAGCCTATGATAAAAAATATTCGACTGGTATTATTGTAATTTTGATAATACATGATTGGTTATATGATACTGTGAAATAATATTATTGGTCGTATAAAAACTGATTGCAGTTCTGTTTTCTATGCAGATGGATGAATATATAGTCATGAGATATCATCATGGGGGTGTGTTGGTTAGGAATGGTGAAGGGAAGCTGAATTATGTGAATGAGAGAGTGGATGATTTACCTGAAATGGATGCAGACTATGTAAACCTTCGTGACCTTGAAGCTCTGTTCAAGGGGTATGGTTACCACAAATGTAGGCAGATGTGGTGGTTGAAGCCTGGTGAGAGTGATTTAGAGGTTGGGTTGCATCTTCTTGAAAAGGATTCTGATGTTTTGCAAATGGTCAAGGCTGCCTTAAGTAATGGGAACAAAATAGACATATATTTTGATGGTTGCATTGTTGTTCCTGAGATTTTGGCTGGGCCTGTAGAAGGGAGTGATGGGTTTGTACCTCAAAGTGCTTATGAGGAGGGGGTCTTAGGTGATTCAATTGGGAGTTCGTGTGACTTCCATATGACTTCTGCTGATGAATATGAAGAGGGAGAGGGCAATGGACGGTCAAGTGATTCATATGACAATGTAGAAGATGAGCCTTACAAGCCTTCTCCACCGGGTGTTGATGACAAAACAGAGGATGAACTGGATCCAAGTGAGGATGAGCCACTTATGTCATTGAAAAAAAAGGTGAAAGGAAAGAAGAAAAAAAAATACAGTTAAGAAGAGTGACAGGGAAGAAAACTTGGAAGAGGATGAGCAGAATATGTCATTTGAAGAGCAGGGCTATGGTTACAATTCTGAAGAATTGAAGACTCCTCCTTCAAGTGGGGATGAGGAGGTTGAAAGGGATGTGTTTCCGAAGTTTAATGAGGATAATTCTTTTGATCATGTACAGCTCGAGCTTGGAATGGAGTTTGTCAGTTTAGAGCACTTTAAACATGGTGTGAAAGACTACAATATAAGTCTTGGGAGGCAATTTACGTGGATTAAGAATGACAAGGTAAGAGCAAGGGCCAAATGCTCAAATGAAGACTGTGAGTGGATGATTTATTGTGCCTGGAACAACAAATCCAATAGTTTCCAAGTGAAGACATTAAATGATAACCATTCTTGTTGTAGAATTTTCAAAAATAAAAGGGCCAGCAGAGATTGGGTTGCAAAAAAGTTGGAGAAAAGGCTGGTCACACAGCCCAACATGACAAGGGCAGAAGCTTATGAGCATTTAAAAGAGGAGTACAAGGTCCATGTGCATCTGAAGAAAGTGACCAAGGCACTGCGTAAAGCCAAGGGCAGAATAGAAGGAAATGAGAAGGAACAGTATGGCAAGTTAAGGGACTACCTGGGTGAGCTTTTGAGGAGCAATCCTGGCTCCACTTGCCAGATGCAAGTAATACCACAGGCAGTGCCTAATAGCCCACCTATTTTTTCTAAACTGTACATATGTCTTGATGCTTGTAAGAAAGGATTCAAAGCTGGTTGTAGGCCATTGATTGGGCTGGATGGTTGTTTCTTAAAGGCTACTATGGGGGACAGCTCTTGAGTGCAGTGGGAGAGGATGCAAACAAGAGCTTTTATGTCATTGCTTTTGCAGTGGTTGACAGTGAGACCAAAGAAAATTGGAAGTGGTTTCTGAATTTGTTACAAGAGGACATTGGCAGCCATGTAGTACATGGGTGGAACTTCATTTCTGATCAGCAAAAGGTATGTTTATTTTTTGGTTGTTTCTTCTCGTTTGTGAAATAGCCATTTGTACTGATTCTTGTTGATGATTCATGTATTAATGCAGGGTTTGATACCAGCATTGCATGAAGTCATGCATGGGGCCCATCACAGGTTTTGTGTGCAGCAAGTCTGGAAGAATTTCATTAAGCAATGAAAGGACAAGGCCATTAGGGGAATAGTATGGGAGGCTGCTCAATGCACTACTGTGCCCCAATTCCAAAGAACAATGCAGAAATTGAAAGACTTGAATGAAGATGCTTGGGCATACCTTCACAAGATTGACCCTTCATGCTGGGTCAAAGCCTATTTTAGTCACTGGCCCAAATGTGATAACATAACTAACAACATGGCTAAGGTGTGGAATGCAAAAATTGTAGGATACAGGTCCAAGCCCATAATCAGTCTATGTGAAGAGCTTAGATGCTATATCATGAGGAGGATGGCTTCCTATCAAAGAATTCTTGGAACAGTTAGGGGTAAAATTGCCCCAGCCCAACAGAAGAAGCTGGATCTCTTGAAGGTGTTAAGCAATTCCTGGACCCCAACATGGACAGGGAATTTGGAGCAAGATCTATACGAAGTGACTGGCAAGGGTGAAAGGGTTGGAGTCAATTTAACCTATAAGACTTGTGCATGTAATGTGTGGCAGCTCACTGGATTGCCATGTGAGCATGCAATCGTTGCAATATGTCACAAGAATGAACTAGCAGAGCTTTATGTCCATCAATGGCTGACAGTGGATGCTTTGCATGCCACATATGCACACACCTTGAACCCTGTCAACTCTTATCAGTATTGGTCTGCATCAACTGAGCCTAAACCCATTCCTCCACCACTCAAAAGGCCAATTGGTCGTCCCAAAAAACATAGAAAGAAAGATCAAAGTGAGGAGCATGACAGCAAAACAAAAAAGTTAAAAAGGACATATGCTGCAAAGTGTGCTAAATGTGGACAGCCTGGTCACTATGCAAAGACTTGTAAGGGACCAGCTGCAAGCAAGAAAGGGAAGAGAGCAGCACCTCCTTCAAATCCAGTTAATGTCAACATACCATCAAAACCTGAAGAGGAGCTCCCTCTGAGTCAAGGAGGACCTTCTGTGATATCAAGACAATCCCAGGCAGCTGAGGAATCCAAAAAGGGCAACAGCCCACCACCTACTGCCCTTCCACCACCAGAACAATTTCAACTGAAACTGTCAATGCAACAAGCAGTGGCACAAGGAGCAGGCTAATGGCCTTTATGACCATACCTGGGTTTAGGCCACCAAGGTCAGCTTGAATGAAGTTGATCAGTTGTAGGTAGAGGTGGCAAAGTGGGCGGCCTGTCCCGCCCCACCATCAACCCGCCAAAAAATGAGTCAGCCCACCCCGCCCCACTTTTGAAAGTGGGCTAAAAAACTCAGCTCGCCCCGCCCCGTTTGGCAGGTTGGGAGGGTTGGCCCGCCAGCACGAGCCTATTTTACACTGACCCGCCTCGGCCCGCCTATGCCCACTATCAACCCGCCAAAAAATGAGCCTGCCCCGCCCCGTTTTTGAGATGGGTTGAAAAACTCAGCCCGCCCCGCCCCGTTTGGCAGGTTGGGCGGGTTGGCCCGCCGAGCCGAGCCCGTTTTGCTGTCTCTAGTTGTAGGTCCAGTGTTTTTTGTATAGGGGTTCAGTGTTTTTTGTATAGGCAACACTGCTAAAAGTTTCCATTTTTTGAATTGTATGCAAGTTCAGTTGTAACCCCATATATTTTGGTATTTAAGGCCTTTAGGTGAAGTACCTGTTTTTTTATTCCCAATATGTCTCTGTGTGGGTTTATTGTGAATAAAAAAAAACATTTGTGGAAAAAGTTTGAAGGATGGTTTTTTGTATAGGCAGGCCTGTAATTATGCAACCTTATTGTGGAAACTTTTTGAAGGATTGTAAATGTCTACATAGAAACTTTGTCAATTGATTTCTTACCTTTGTTTGATAACTATAACTGCTTGTAGTTGGTGTTTGCTGGTTTGAAGTTACATATGTGTTTGTTGCAATGTGGTTGGTCATTTCATGAGTTACATATATTAACCTTGGTCACTTGTTTTTTTTGCTGCAATATGTCTCTGTATACATTTGTGGATAAAGGGTGTGATTAAGTGCTATGTCATGAATTACAATGAATCTTCGAAATGCTTATGGTTGGTGTTTGCTGGTTTCAGTAACATATGTGGTCCACATTTTGCTGCAATATGTGCATTCCATTGCTGCAATGTGCTGTGTTACAGGCAATACCTTTTAGCAATAAACAGGTCATGCCCATTTTTCAAGTTTCAGGGACCAATTAGGGCCCCGATATCAATTGTCAGGGTCCAATTTGGTCCCCGATATGAATTGTCAGGGTCCAATATGTCCCTTTTGGTTATTCTGTTACAGCAATTTCTGGATTTAGGGATACATTTCTCATCACATTGTGGTTTGTGATACAATGCAGCAAACTGGCACATTCATTCCATATATATGATGTTGGCATTGGATGCACATATATATGATGCTATCAGATATAAAGGAATACATTGAAAGCTTCTTTATTATTAATCCAGATATGTATGATGTAGACAGATTCGAACCAACACAAAATAGGCCATATAATACATCCTTCTTCATTAATTTGGATAACAAGATTACTGAGTACTCATTACACTTCATTGAAAGAAAAATACATTGGGGTCACTTGTTTTGATTGTTACAACACTAACAACAAACATACACATGATGATCACACATACACAAGCAGCACCTAAGACCCAGCAACCCTACCAACATTCCTAATTTGTTTGTCCATCCTATCTAACTCCTATTGAAGCACTCCCACTTGATCTCCCCATGCCAGAAGAAAGACTCATCTTCTCCTATGCCCCAGCAAATTCGATAGAGGTCTTCTATTGTCGTCGATTTTTAGTCATCAACGTTCGGATGTATAGTTTGGGGGATTCTTCTGTTTAGGGTTCATTTGAGCAATTTGGGGGATTTTTGTGTTTAGGGTTGATTATTGCACATTTGGGGGATTTTTGTGATTAGGGTTCACTGTGAGCAATTTTTCTGTTTAGATGCATGTCATTCACAAAACGTCGTCGTCTCTTCTTCCACGGTGTACCACGTCCAAGCCGCGTCAGCAAACTAACGTGCCGAATGGGCACCGTTAGTTGGGCCGTTTGGGGGGAGTCAACAGAAGGATCAACGTGACTCTTTTTTTGTTATTTCAGGGACCAATTTATCCCTTTTTTGTTGCTAGGGATTGAAATGTGCCTCGTAAAAATTGTCAGAGACAAAAAAAGATATTTACTCTAAAGATTTTCTTTTCTTTTCTTTTCTTTTCTTTTTTTTTTCTTTTTTGTAATGTGGTAGTAATGGAAGGTCAAAGTAACCAAGAGAACCCTACAACTAATGTCTTGTGACACTAGAGGAACCAGCAACCATGTCTCTCATTCAGCTGAGGATCATCTATTTCCAGACTCAAATTTTTTTATTTCAGCATCTGGAAGGAATGGGAACCACTGGACTTGTCTACCAAAACCCTCTCATAATAATTTTCAATATCTCCTATAAAGTGTATATATATGGGTGTGTTTTTTTTTTAAAGTAACTTTATTTTCAAATTGACTTTTTGATTTATTTTAAAATTTAAATAAAAAACATCATTTAACAAAAAAATCTCAGGTTGAGTTTTTTTTTTTTAATTTACAGTTGTGGCAATGAAATTTCAACTTATGACCTTGTAAATTATTCAAGCCCTTTATCATTAAACCCCACCTATATATATTATCATTTTGACGTCATCACTGATGCTGGCCACACAGATTTTTATTTTGTTTTTTTGAAATTGTTTTTTAACCATACAAAGCATGGACCCACTTTGAAATTTAGAAGCGTTTCCAGGCTAACCATCTACGTAAAAAGACTTGAACACCGCTGAATTAATTTTGAACTTATCCACACACATGCATATTGCAACAATGCGTTACTTCATATATAATTGACGGCAGTTTACGTTATATACTTATCTAACAGTGTTCTAGGCATGATCCTTTTTCATTTCATGTATGATAAATAATTGAATTACACGTTAAAATGTTTTAGATATTTTTCGATGGCACATTAACTATAAAACTATTTTGATTATTCCCCCAATTATATTGCGTAAAGTGTCTCTCTAAAAGTGCGTCTATCTTTTTATGATCCTAATTTTTCTTGTCTTCAGCCTAAATCAGTATTTTAAAATTCCAATCGATCATCGACTCGATCGAGGTACTGAGTTATTGGATCATTGATTCAATCGGGTTTAACCGGATTTACTGTTTACATATTAAAAAAATATAAACATATTACTTATATTAAAAATTCACATAAGAAAACTACCAATGAGCTTCAAAAAATAAATTGGTTTTCAATAATAGCAAATTTTATATACTTCTAGGCTTCTAGCTCTAGACCAGATCCTAAAATTAGATTAAAATTGCAATGTAAACTAAATGCACCTTTCGTGCCTTGATATAATATAGATAAACTAAATCATGAAAACAAACAGTAGGCATGAAATATACACTAAGGAAAAAGTTTCTACGGTTGAGATGAGACTATTAATATTTATCCTCACTTGACTTCTTTAGATCATTATAAGATACAACTAAATTATATAAATGAACTGCACTGATCCAAAATACCTTCTTATTTTCACCTTACTTTTTAATCATATTTACCACAAAATATGAACATTATTTAATTCATGAGTTCATAGCAACTAAAAAAAATATTTACAAAAGAAAAAAGTTTTACAAAAAAAAAAGGGTCAACCGATCTATCTCGGGTCAACTGTGTCACTGGATCTCGGCCGGGTCCACCGGTCCAAACCGAATTGATTGCAGAACCAGTTCAAATGATCACTTGGACCGAGAAATCCACCAGGTCACCTAGACCCGGATCAACCCGGCCGGTCCGAGCCAGTTTTTAAAACAATCGCCTAAACCTATATTAGCCATCCAAACATTTTTAAACATAGTTCATTATATGAGGATCGGAGATGCACATGTAAGACTCCCACACACATTTCGTATTAATTATAAAAGTCCAGGATATGAGATTTATAATTTAATATGCTTCTGATCTCCATTGCAGATCAATTAGAGTTGAGTAT